TATTTAAAAAAGCAAGTTTTCATTCTAGCCATAAGTAACAGTCTTCCCAAGATACATGAACCATGTTTTTAAACAGTCATGTCACTATGAGATGCACTTTTTAAGTTTTTATTTAAATTCCAGTTAGTTAACATACAATGTAATTTTACTTTTCAGGTGTACAATATAGTGATTCAACACTTCCATACAACACCCAGTGTTCATCACAAGTGCACTCCTTAATCCCCATCACCTATTCAACCCACTCCCTCACCCAGTTCCAGTCTCGTAACTATTGGTTTGTTCTAACATACATTTCTAATAAAGTTTTACTTTTATGTTTAAAAAAAAAAGTCTTGTTGCTCATTCTAATCACTGTGGGAGCTGTACCTGGGGCTCCTTTAATAAGAAAGGATCCTCTTATTATACGCAACTGATGAATTATTGAACACTCCATCTGAAACTAATGATGTACTATATGTTGGCTAATTCAATTTAAATTTAAAAAAGAAGGATCCCCTGAAAGGAGATGAAATGGTCCCAAATCTTAGTGCCTTCCAGCTGAAGCAAACACAAATAATCCTTGAAGGAAAGCATCCTTAGTTTGGATCCCTAGATTTCCAAAGATTAAAACCAATCAAAGATAAACTCTCAAAGATAAGCATGGCCTAAAAAACTAAACCAATAACATGAATCAAAAGAAACAATACATGGCAGAACGTAAGATATATTGAACAAAATGAACAAGCAAAAGAGATTATCAAACAACAAGAAAGAGTTGGGGAGAGAAGGAACAGAGCTTCTACAAATCAAAGTGTACAATACTGAATTAAAAAATAAGAGGAATAAACTACATATCAGAGACAAATACAGAGAACTAATAAACTGGAAAGGAGACCTTAATAAAGTACCCAGGATATAGCCAGAATAACAAGGAGACAGAAAGCATGAAAGAGAGATTAAGAAAGAGATGAAAGAAAACAAAATTCTAAAACATTTCTATTCAGGGTTCCAAAAAGGTGAGAAGAGAGACAATGGAGGAAAACCAGTATTTGCAAAAATTCTGGCTGATAATTTTCCAAAATGATAAATGACAATACACAAATAGAGGAAATACACTGAAGTTGTTTGAGCCATATGGAAGTATAGGTCAAAATGGTTTAATATTGTTAATTACATATGGTTTAACCTATACCAAGCTAGATAAAGACAAAGAAACACCTAAATTCACTGTAGTGAAAATGCAGAATACCAAAAACAAACTATCATAAAAACAACCTGAGAGGGGCACCTGGGCGGCTCAGTGGGTTAAGCCTCTGCCTTGGGCTCAGGTCATGATCTCAGGGTCATGGGATAGAGCACCACATACAGCTCTCTGCTCAGAAGGCAGTCTGCTTCCCCCTCTCTCTGCCAGCCTCTCCGACTACTTGTGATCTCTCTCTCTCTCTCTCTGTTAATAAATAAATAAAATCTTTAAAAAAACAAAACAAAACAAAACAAAACCTGAGAGAGGGCACCTGGGTGGCTTAGTTGTTAAGCGTGTGCCTTTGGCTCAGGTCATGATCCCAGAATCCTGGTATTGGAGACCACATGGGGCTCCCTGCTCAGCAGGAAGCCTTCTTCTCCCTTTCTCACTTCCCCTGCTTGTGTTCCTTCTCTCTGTGTCTCTGTCAAATAAATAAATAAATAAATCTTAAAAAAAAAAAAAAACCTGAGAGAAAAGAAATAGGATTTATAAAGAAATGACAATTAGGCTGATACCAATTTTTCAAAAGCAAAAAAGGAATCCAAAGGACTGGATTTAAAGTACTGAGAAAAAAGAACTGCCAACCTAGAAGTGTTTACCTCACAAATCTTCACTCAAGACAAAAAGGAAAAAAAAACAGTTATGTTCATAAACACACAAACTAGGCATTTACTGCCAACAGATGTTAACTAGAGGAACTTTTAAAATTAGATACTTCGGAAGGAAGGAACAGACTCCTATTAACAAGATCCACTTCTGCTTGGTAAAGGACAGAGAATGTCAGATGGGATTAACAATATATAATAATTTGCTATTTATAGCCCCAAATATAGACTCATAAAAGCTGAAAAACAGAGATGGAGAAAGACATAATAGGCAAATACTAATAAGTTGTAGTAGCTATTTGAATACCAAAGTAGCCTTTAAGATAAAAAATGCATTATTAAGGATGGAGAAAGTCAGCAAATAATGTAAAATATTAAATTCATCAGGAAGATTAAAGTTATAAATTTAAATGATCTTAATAAATTGCCTCAAAATAAGTAAAAGGTAAAAATTGAGAGAATTATAGGGAGAAATTGACAAATCAAACATCATAATGGGAGATTTCAAAATACTGTATTATTGGGGCACCTGGGTGGCTCAGTAGGTTAAAGCCTCTGCCTTCGGCTCAGGTCATGATCCCAGGGTCCTGGGATCAAGCCCCACATCGGGCTCTCTGCTCCGTGGGGAGCCTGCTTCCTCCTCTCTCTCACTGCCTGCCTCTCTGCCTACTTGTGATCTCTGTCAAATAAATAAATAAAATCTTTTTTTAAAAAAAGAATTACCTTTAAAAAATACTTTATTATTGGTAGATGAAAGGAAAAAAAAACTCAATAAAATTTGCAAATCACAAAAAAAATTGCAAATTACAACCCAAAGTCTACCTTATTAGGCTCCAAGACCAATAATTAGAGAACCCTGTGCCCAAGAACACATTCTTCTTGAACACAAATGGAAAAATTACAAAAATTCATGATATACTAAGTCATAAAATAACGTCCAAAGTATTAATACCACAAAAACATATTTTCCACAGCAACAATGTCCATGATAGCCATACTATGGAAGGAGCTGAGACATCCTTAAACAAATGAATGATAAAGAATATGTGGTTTGTATATACAATGGAATATTACTCAGGCATTAGAAAGGATGAATATCTACCACTTACAATGACATGGATGGAAATGGAGGGTATCATGCTATCAGAGAAAGACAATTATCATATGGTTTCACTAATATGTGGAATATAAGAAAGAGGGCAGAGAACAATAGGGGAAGGGAGGGAAAACTCTCAGAGGGAGACAAACCATGAGAGACTCTTGGGGAAAAAAACTGAGGGCTGCGGATAGGGAGGAGGATGGGGAGATGGAGTAACTGCGTGATGGACATTAAAGGAGGGCATGTGATGTGATGAGCACTGGGTGTTACATGCAACTAATAAATCACTGAACATATATCAAAAACTAATGATATACACTATGTTGGCTAATTGAATTTAAATTTTAAAAAAACTTAATTTCCAGACATAACTTAATTTTCTATAATAAAATTAGATGGTAAGACCAAAAGAATGAACCAAATCAGCTATGTTAAAACCTCTCATAATGGGGTGCCTGGGTGGCTCAGTCAGTTAAGCACCTGTCTTCAGTTCAGGTCATGATCCCAGACTCCCAGAATCGAGCCCCACATCGGGCTCCCTGCTCAGCCAAGATTCTGCTTCTCCCTCTCCCGCTCCCCATGCTTGTGCTCTCTCTGTCAAATAAATAAATCTTTAAAATAAAATATAAAATAAAATAAAATAAAATAAAACCTCTCATAGCAATTCATGGGTCAATGAAAAAATCAAAATGAAAACTAAGATATTTAGGACTAAAAGACAATGAAAATAATATATAACTGTGAAGAGTCAAAACAGGAGTTGGCACTTTATCATCTTAAATGCTTACATTAGAAAATAAAAAAAAGATATATATTTAACATTGGGTTTCATCCTAAGAATTGGCAAGGACAGAAAAGGGGAGGGATGAGTGGAATAAAACCCAAAGAAAGCAAAACAGGGATAATAAAGAATGGAAATGAACGAACTAGGAACACAAAGCTATAATAGAAAGAATCAAAAAGCCACAAAGTTGATTCTTTGAAAACATACTGAGAGGCTGCGAAACTTGCTCAAGGCTACATGGCCAACGAATGGAGAAGCCAGGACTTAAATCTAGGTAGTCTGTCTCCATAGTCCAGATTTTTTACTACTATGCTCCACTGCCCTAAAGGTGCTACATATAAAAAGAAAGGATTGTTATGTTTGACCACATTAATCTTAATGACCTCATGTATCATGAATACCATAAAGCAAGATATATACAACACATACAATTAAGAAAAGATTAGTATTCAGAATAAAAACTCTATAAATCAATAAGGAAAATACAATAACCCAATAGACAAATGGGAAAAACATAGAAACATGCATTTCACCAAAAAGAAAACATGAATATCCAATAACCATATGAGAAGATGCCCCACCACATAAGTAATCTACAAAATGCAAAATAAAAGTATAATGCGAGGATATTTCATATGAGTCGGGTTGAAAAAAACTTAAAAATCTACTAACAAACATTGGCAAAGATGTAGACCTATGGAAATTCTTATCTACTGATAAACTGGTTTAATGCTCTGGAGAAAAATTTGGGTACTATCTTGTATGAATATTCATATACCCCATGACTTGGAAATTCTACTCCTAGATATATATCCTAGAGAAATTCTTGAACATGTATATCCTGAAACATACACAAGGATGTGTATGTTAATAGCAGAAAACAAAACAAAACAAAAAACAAAAAAACAAAAACAAAAAAATCCTGGAAACATCTTGTGTCTACCAGAAGAAAAATGGAAAAACTGTGGTGTATTCACAGTGGAATACTACATAGCAATGAAAATAACTGTAATTATGCAAAACAAGGAAGATGCTTTGAAACATAATATTGAGTGAAATAAGGAATTTACAGTACGGTTTTATTTTACGAAGTTCACACACAGGCCAAACTGAATATATCATTTAGATACGTAGGTAGGCAAATATAGAGATTTATAAAAGAGGAGAACAACAAAGTATGCTTGCATATACAAAATATTGAATAAATCTCATTTTTGTCTTTTTAATTTTCATCCATTATTTAAGTATTACCTTAAGAAGAGAAAAGAGAACCAATGTCAATCTTACCTGCAGAAACACTGAGGAAGTTCTCCTTGGCCATATAAAGGAAACAAAAATGGAGTGTTGCCATAACGTCCAAGGCAGTGAAGAAAGTTTTTGGTAGCTTTGAGACCATCTATGGTATTGCTGGCTTTCTCTGATGTCATTGCAATTGAATGCAGGACAAAGTACTGGAGGCTGGGGGTTAATTTCTGTGTTTTTAAATACTCGGAAAATGTAATCTCCTCATAGGCTATGTAAAGATAAAAATTGATCAATTAAAATTAGAACCAAACTTCACTTTAAAAACACTGCACAAAATACATCAAGCCTGTTCAAGACACTTGGCAAGGGACCAAGGTCGTATAATATTACATTTTGAACAGAGACCACAGATGTTAGGGGAAAAAAAGAACTAGAAACAATTTTACTATCTTAATTGAACTAATGGCACAATTTCCAAGCTTTAAATGATGAATCTTTTTTTAAAAATTAAATAAATTAAAGAAAAACTAGAAAAACATTAAGTAATTCATTAACCATCACAATAGGTTTACGTAAGTGGCAATATTTACTTTGTTATCTTTAAATTTCCAAATAATGTCAATAATTTTTTTAAAGATTTTATTTATTTATTTGACACAGAGAGAGCAAGCACAAGTAGGCAGAGAGGCAGGCAGAAAGAGATGGGGAAGCAGGCTCCCTGCTCAGCAGAGTCTGACGCGGGGCTCGATCCCAGGACCCTGAGACCATGACCTGAGCTGAAGGCAGAGGTTTAACCCACTGAGCCACCCAGATGCCCCAATAATGTCAATAATTACACTTTGAAATATTAAATACATATGACAAACGACAATTTTTTGGTGAAAACAGTGATAGAGCGATACTTAATTTTTTGGAAATGTATATTTCTTACTAAAACTAAGAACAATAAACTATGACTAAAAAGTAATAAAGGTAATTTCTGTGTGGCTAATGGAACCAGTCTTACTGCCTTACATCACACCTCAAAACAAGGGACCTAGAAACTATTCATTTAAAGAAGAGGAAAAAAAATGTAACTAGACTGTTAGTGGTAGGAAATACAATTCCGTGACAAAAGAAAAAAAGTAAAGATTATAAAAATTTACTGAGATAACATAAGTTTACACCACTGTGAAGGATGATTTGGCAGTGTCTTATGGACATGAAGCTTTAAGAGTAAGAGCTTGACTTCTAATATTCCATCAAGTAAAAAAAAATACTGCTATATTTCTCATTGTAACTTTATAAATGAAACATCAACAGAACATTCTGATTTTGGATAATGTTTCCAGCCCAATGCACTAAAAAGTATAAAGCTCTGATACTGAGATATTCAATTTTCAACAGACTCTGAAGTAACTGTATGATTTGGGTCAAAGCCAAGACTAGACTCTAATACAGTGGTTCACACTCCCCATACCATCTAGCCTCTTTTTCTTAATCAGTAAAAATGAGTAAGTCAATATACCAAGCAAAAGTAATCCTGGGAAAATGAAAAAATACACAGATTTTTTTCACTGCTGAAAAAAATTAAAAGAACAATGAAAAGAGACTTTCATCTATGAAGAATTAGTTAACAGCAGTATTTAATTAGTAAAAATAAAAACTAAACACCCAGCATAGCACTTCCACAATGATGAAAACATTCTATAGGTGTACTGTAGCCATAGTAGCTAATAACCACATGTGGCTCCTAAGCACTTCAAATATGGCTAGTCCAACTGAGGAACTGAATTTTAAATTTTATTTAATTTTAATTAATTTTAATTTAAATAAGTACATGTTGTTCCTGGCTAACCTACTGGATAGTGCAGAGTAAGAAATGTACTTTAACAAAGACATGAGTGGCTTACATCAGAGCAAGCATATTAAAATAAGAAAGTTCAAATAATTAGAGAACACAATTTAATGGCAAACAATACCTTTATATTGATCAGGATGTTTTTCATACTCCATACAAAATGTAAGAAACTTCATTAGCATTCGTTTTTCTACCATAGTAAGTTGTTTGCTATTAAAGACATCTGCTCTAGAACAAGGAACCTGAAAAACATGATTGTAAGTTAAGAAACTGCCTCCTAGTGATACAAGTATTCCAAATCACACTTTTTCCCCTTTAACTATAATAAGATAATTATTTCCATTCTAGACATCTGTGTTACCTTCCATCAGTTCTAATGGCATCTCTGTTAGGTTCAAAGCTAATTAACTTGTGAGCTCTCTTACTTAATTCTGCCAAGTTGCTCTTTATGCCATTAAAAGGCCAATGGCATGTCACCCCTAACTGGGTACAAATGACAGCTCAAATCTAGCAATACTGCCTAATAGTAACCATTTTTCAACACCAACATCAGGCTTCAGAATAACTCATGAAAATATTTACAGTAAAAATTTTAATTGAGTAATCTCTTAACTATTTATTTTTCCCATACGGGATTGGAATTCACTGCTTTGCCAGGAAAATAACAATCCTACTTGCTTATCCTTCCAAAACAAATCATAATAACTTAAGTTCATACTCCATCGCAACACTTGAGTAAGCAAAGTACCTGTTCCACTCTTCCTTCTCGAAATGCAAGAATCCTGGTAATATTTTTGAACTCTGCATATCGACTTACATTAGATTTGATTAAAAGATCAATTAGCAATCCTCGAGAATACAGCAGCTGTACAAAGAAAATATTTTACAGGATGAAGTAAAAGGCAAAATTGTGGAAAAACTGATAAATGCTAAATAAAGACATATAATTCCATTATATTTTTAAATATTTGTAAAAAGCATTATACATATTAATATTGCAGTACATAACATATTTTATTACAGGTTTACAACTGATTATCTGAAATTCAAAACCCAAAAAACTCTGGAATCCAAAGTTTTTCCATAAATAGTTTGACAACAAAATGACCCAAACTGTTATAAGGCTCTTCTATCTTTGCCCTGCTTACTGTGAACATTCGTACATCTGACTGCAGAAATATTAATAGGTTTAATTAATTAGTTTAATTAATTAAAGACTGCTAAGAATGTTGCCTCATATATAGCATACCAGCACATGTAGTGTATTATTTCCCAAAATAATTTTTTAAATCTAAATAACAGAACACACCAGGCCCAAGGGTTTTGAATAAGAGACTGTAGCCTTATATAAGGGCAGGTGGTTATTAAGAAGACACCAGCTCGCTGGACTTCCTCACCAAACAAAAAAGAAAAAGAGTGGTTATATATTTCCACCACAAGAGTTGAATTTTAAGGTCCCTCTATAATCCTAGCAGTCTAGATTTATATGAGATATGTCTTTCTCAAGAAGTGAGGATGATAGTTATTGCCAGCATGCACAATAGGAATTGATTTAATCTTCCACATCTCTCATAACCAATATTAGACAAAAACAACTTCAACAGTATTATCTTGCCTGTTCTAAATTTAACCACATGGTTAAGTGCAACACATTCGGCAATGTCCTATACTGATATACTTTTAAGTGTCTGACTCAATAAATGTTAAAAATGTAAATGTTACATCTCTAATAGGGGAGGGAAAAAAAACAATCAGCTTTAATACAAAGAGAAAGGGAATTTCAAAAATCAATCCAAACTGTTAGTCTGAGCATCCAAGAGGTCAGTAAGGACTCTGAAAATCAATATTAGTTAGGTGAATTTTATAAAGCCCAGCATTGTACAGAACAAAACTAGCATTGCTATTTTGGCAGTTGGGCGGGTTTATTGA